AAAAAAAAAAAAAAAAAGTGAAGCATTTTTGGTTCAAATATTCCAAAAAGTTCAACCTGCATAGACACGGAGGCTGGAAAATTTCTCTTATAGAGATCAAAGTTTTGGGAAGTTCTCAGCAATTGTAAATGGGATTTTGGAAATGGAAATGCTCAAGCAACCCTCGCTCTAGCTATCATTAGCATTTCAGCCATTGTACTTTGGAATTGCCCTGATGCAGGAGAGTTGGGGATTACTTGACATTGCGCTGTTTTAACCGTGTCAGAAACACAGTGGTCCTCAAATCTGTTAGACTCAAGGCTACACCCCACCCTCAGAAAAAGGTTTTTCACTCATTTTTTTTACTACAGAAAAGATAATAAAGCAATTCTTCTACTGCAAAGAACTCAGACAGGTGACAACGGGTCAGAATGTTTTTGACACTGAATTCCTATTTGAAATCTCTGGGTTTATCTTGTGAATCGTGTGTGTTGCACAAATGACAGTGCTAATATTGGGTGTTTTCCCACAGCAACCTTAAAAGAATCTCATAGCACCCCAGGGTGCCAGCCAGATTGAGAATTGCTGGAACAACATATGCTATTTTTTTTAATTTGCAAGAGTTTGGCTGATTAGTTTGACATGCAAAAGCTAGTGTTATCTCCTCTTTGATCAATTTTATTTCCTTTGATCTATTTAATTTTCCTCCTACCCTACTTATTAAATATGTGATTGTGTCCCTAGGGGTGATTGTGTCCCAATGAGCATGCATGTGCAGGGGCTTGCATTTCCTGCGGGACAAATAGCAGTGGCACATATTTGTACCACTGCTATTTGTCCCTGGGCATGCCCCTGCACACATGCTCCAGCGTGCAGTAAGTTGACCTGGGTGGCATTGGGGAGGTGCTGGCCCCAGCAGCCTTACCTGGAGTCCTGGGGACCTCCTGGGGGAGCAGCAGTGTCAAGCTGACCGCTCAGAGCCTGGCCAGCAGCTAGAGTGTGGTTCTGGCTGGCCAGGCTTTATTTATGGCAGTGCACACTGCTGCCATGTGCACCACACTGCTTTTTTAGTGGTGATTTTTTTTTTACACCAGGATCTCCCGGTGTTAAAAAACCCCCAAAGCCTCTGTGTGCAAGCCAGCAGCATGGTGAAATGGGTTTGAGGTACTGCAAACTGTATGTGCACACTCATCGGGATTGACCCTGGATGTCTTTACATGGCCTTCCCAGTTATAATTACATGAGCCGATGTCCAGATGTTGACTACTGACAGATGTACTTGAAGTTTGCCATTTTCTTCTAACTGCTGGCTTGATTGCAGGACATAAATAAGCATAGCACCACTGGAAGAAGATCTAGTGGGAGTCTCTATTACTTGCAGAATTGACCTCAGGTTTGAATGTCTGCCACAAAGTACAGGCTAGAAGTAGAAATCCCTGGGGGGGATTCTGTAGCCTCTGTAATGCAAAAGGTTGGACCAGATGTTCACATTGATCCTAAAAATGGATAAGTTAAAGATGTTCACATTGATCTTAAAAATGGATAAGTTAAATGTTCTTGAAAAAACTCCTAGTGACTTCAATAAGGTCAGAATTTCAGCTGATGAATCTGTGAGCACCTGTTTGAAGGTATGGGCCATAATACCATTGACTCACCTAGTCATAACTATCTCTATGGTGCCTCCCATTCTGTAATCTTGAGAGATAAGCCAGCAAAAGCAGTGAAGGAACAAGGGGGTGGCAGAGAGAGTGGTGGGAGAGGAAGATGAGATCAGCTACTGGATCTGGGACAGAAAGAAGAAGGGAGAGCTTGGGAGGCTGAAGAAAAGAAGGTCACAGGTGCCCACACGAGAGAGAATGGAGGTGTTTTCAGCAAGGACAAGAAAAGGAAAGGGAGGTTGTTAAAAATATCCAAGGCAGAACCGTCAAGATTGGACACCAACCTGGGCAAGAAGGGAAGTGAAAGGTGAGAATTGCTACTTGTTAACATCCCCTGTGTGCCCCGTGCTCCACAAATCCCTGTGAGAGAGCTCCTCCACCGGGTAGCTTAGACAACAGGGCAGATGCAGAAACCATCTGTGCCAGCGGGGCATTCACAGTCTAGGGTATTCTGTGTGGCAGAGTGCAAATGCCTTGTCACCTGGAGGTGATGTGTGGAGACAGGACTCATGAATGGAGCAGAGCTCCATGGAGCTTGTAAATGAGAAGCCCTAACTCAATTTGCTTTGTTGCTTTAATTGGATCAGAGCAAGAAAATGAAGCCATTATAGAGAAGTGAAAGGGCATGACTGGCTAATTGGAATCTAACGGCGTAAGAAAATCCCTGTCTAGAGCGCTCTTTAGGGGGAACCTTTTAAGAAAACCAACTGATCTTAGTTTAGCAGCAGGGACCAAGAGGGTTTGAGTTGAAAGGAATAACAGGAGCGTTCAAACAATCTTGGGATGGCCATTTTACATCGAAAATGGGTGGTCTTCTTTTAGGTGGAAAAAGCGAAGACTTTGAAGCTCCTGAGTGCAGAAAGTTGCAAGTTAAGATACATTTTCCTTACTCCGGCTAGAATAGAAATGTTTGCAATCCTGAAAGCTTTGTGTTCCTCTCAAGAACTAGGTGGAATGAGCTTAGGAGAGCCTGAATGAGACCCTTAAAAGAGCACTGTGCAGCCCATACACTGTCTAAGATGAAGGTGTTTTATCTATGAAGCAAGGGAGGGGGGTAGCAAACATAGCTGATTTCTTGGTAAGTCCTTTAAAGCAGGCCAGGGCTTGCCATGTTGGTAATCATTTACCTGAAGCCTTCACAGATCATTTTTTTGTTCAGGATCTGAAATTTGGAAAGAAGTTGCTGAGCAGAGCTAACAAAAACAGGGAATTTCTGTCCTGTGGAAAATACTGAGAATTTGAAATTTTGTTTTGTCCCAAATCCAGGTGAAAAGTTGAAATCTCCCAACTTCTTTCCTGAAATATTCAAAAAATATTTTGTTCTGACGTTGTCAGAATACTTTGATAAGCTCACAGCATTTATTTTGACAATTATTCATATATTATAAAAACGAAAAGAAAACATTTTGTCCTTTTCAGAAAAAAAGTTTGAATGCTTACACATAAAGGTGTTGGGAAAATCAGTACGGTCTTCTGAAACATTTTAATTTAATTGAATCAACATTTTCTGGTCCACTGGAAAAAATTTCTACCCATAGTTCTGCTGCACTTTGTATATACACAGGGGCACCAGCTGTAAACCAGGGTGAGTACGACTTTGACATCCCTGTTTTAGATGAATGCCGCAAAGAAAATGTACTGACTTCATGTTCATTTTCATGGAAGAAAATGGTCCTCTTATCTGGTTTAAAATATAAGGCTGTCTTGCTCTGTGGTGCACCACATAATAGGAAGGTCAGGCTTCTCTCTCTATTGGTGTTGGCTCTTTTTTGTTGTCTGCGATTTATAAAGTAGATCTGAAAGATATTTTTCAAGGGGTGGCAGACCAGGGAGTAGATTTTCTTAATATCTTTAACTGAAAAGTAGCTAGTGTTAATAATGATGTACCTCAGCTTTGCAGAACATCCCTTTAGATGTCTTCAACGTGGATTGGAAATGGCACAGCCCTTAAAAGAAGGGCTGGTACATTATTCTTTTAAAAGTGTGCTTTGCTCCTGTATGTTTATAATGTCTTCGAGTTTAATTAGGTGTCAACAAAAATCTGCAGAAAATGGAGGTTTTAAACAGGCAACAAGGGAACGTGATATTTTCAGTGGAGTGGTCTTTGATGTCACAACTCTGCTAGCTCTCTGCTCACCCAGAGATTCTTGTAGGAAAACAGAGAAGGTAAGAGTTGGATGCCTAATGTAAAAGAGAAGAAAAATCCTTCAAGGAAGAAATTGTGGGAGCAAGGAGGAAAGGAATGTGTCTCGGTGTTCTTCACAGATCGTAGAGAAGCCACCAGGGGTGCAAAATCAATTAAAAAATGTATTTTCCCATTCACAGTCACCTTTAAACGTGTGGGAAATTGATGACACGTCAAAGAAGGTTGCCTTTTTGTCTCAAAGGACAAAAGCCTTTGGCTCCTGTATCATATCAGAAATTCATCTTGCACGTCAGTGACTTGGGGCACTTTGAGGCACTGGCTGTATGTAACCTGGATGGTTGCAAAGAGGTGGTTTTTCTTAGCAGCTTGCCCAGTTGAAGATGAGGTTTCTCTGGTGGATATATATAGATTTAAGAAAAAATTTTTGTGTCCCAAGTCAAATCAGCCAAATCAATTCCAAATCTGTGTGAATCATTCAAGAACCATATGTGGCCCTGCTACCGGCAAGTATCCTCCACCCCAGCCTGGGGCTTCAGATGCTTCCAAACCCTTTGGCAGGCATCCTGTGTGCAGGCCCAAGCCCGGAGGCTGGTGGATATCAGTGTTTGGCTTTAGCTCAGCAAAGAGGAGATGCGTAACAGGGAGTCAGAAGGCTCCTGTTACTTAAGAGGAAATTGCAGCAGGGTTAGCTGACTCCTAGCTGGCATGAGAGCTACCTTGGGGGAGGCAAACAAAACGCTGCTGCCTTGCAAAGCGACGTGACCCAGGATACGGGGGAAGCCTGGTTGAACGGACAAGTAGCCATTGGTTACATTTGGACCCAGAGCAGATAGTTTGTGATGTTGTCAGAGGGTTTATACCCTTTTTTATAATTTATACTGGTGGTTTGGGATTGGGACTAGTAGGGGTGATATGGAGGTCCCAGCTGTTCCTGAGGGCACCAGAGTGTCTGGAGTCCTGCCAGGGGCTGGGGACTCAAGACACAGATGGGGCTTGAGCCTTATAGGGTGGCAGCCTAGAGCAGGACTGCAGCTGAGCACAACTCAAGCCCGACAGGGCCAGGGGCCATGGTTAAGATAGGGCTAGGGGCCCAGACAAAGCTGAAGCAGGCTTGTTGCCCAGAGCAGGGTGGAGACAGGGCCATGGGGCCAAAGGCTAAAGTAAGCCCCAACGAGGAAGCGATTGTGTGGTAACATCTGCAAGGCTTGGGCACAGCTGTAGGGGAGTTTCAGAGGCCGTGAATAGCCCTTAAGGTTGCAAGTACGCTGAGAGGCACAAGTGGGCCAAGAGGGCCCACCAGGCGTAAAGTATGTAAAAGATCAGCAGGGTCCATGCGGGACCTGCTGGCTGTCAGAAGAACTGAGGGCTCACACTAGGACCCTTAGGTCGCCTCCCTTTCTGGCATTCAGTAGTTACATCAAGGCATGGCAGGAGAGCAGGGCAAGTGTTGGGGGGCATCATGGCCAGCGCTGGAACCCAAACATTGCCACAGGCTGACGCTGACTTCCAGAAAGGCCTGAAAAGTACTGGGGAGAGCTCAGGCCATTCAAGAAGCCAGATTCTAGACCTTGTTCGCTGCCACCTTTTTAGATCCATCATTAAAAAATGGCTCGGTTAGGGCCTGCCAAGCGCTTCCATAGCAACAGCGGTTTTTAATGTGATCAGAATGAATCGCATACTGAGAACTTACTCCCATGAGACATCTCAGCAAGGGGCCTGTCACCTGGCCATCAGAGTTAGGGCAGGACCAAGCACCTCTGAACTGTGGGGTGCTTGGGATCTAAACGTGAACCCCTCCATACTGCCAGTGTATCTCAACTGTGTCGGGGGACCTAATCTCTGCAACAGAGAGCTTTATGTGATCTCCCTTCCTCCAAGGGTCTAGAAGGGCCAGAATAGCTCTGCACACAAGAAACATTCCTGAACTGTCAACCAGCTCCTTCATTAGCCTTCGTTATCCCGTTAGCCTCCAGTCTCTTTCCCCCCAGCACCAACTCAGTGCTGTAGCTGTCAGTAGCGTGGTCATTTTCATATGGTACTAGTGCCCTCTGCTGTGCTCGGAAATAACAGATCCTCTCATCAGCATGTGTACTTCGTTACACCATTCATTCAAAAGCATTTTACAGGCTTAGCCCTGACCTGGAGCTAGTAAATGCAGCTTGTCAGCAAGTGCAGCTTGCGCAGATCTGTATGGATAACTGGGCATGAGGAATTATACTGGTGCATTCTTGAATTGCCTAGCGGAGGGAGCCTCTCATGTCTGGAAGGGGACTGACTCGGGTCTGCAAGTGAAGCTGTTCCTATCCAGTCAGGTGGGTTAAGGCAGGGGTATGGTGGGTGCCTGGTGAACCTGGGGTCACCCTCAGCTCAATCCCTGCTCCTCATACAGGTACTCAAGGAAAGGACCGGCAATTGTCTGTTTGGGAGAGTCAGGCCTGGGGGAGGCCAGGCTGCACCCCAAGGGTCATACCTCCGGCTGAGGGAGGTTTCCGTCCCCTACTTTGCTGCTGCTAAAGTGCTTAGATTGTTTGTTGTAACATAGCCCCTTGATGAAGAGGCCTGGCTTTCCAGCTGCTCACATCTCCCTGTCCTCTCTCCCTGCAGCTAATGAGGGAGCAACCTGTGACCTGCTGGGGAAGATCTATCACAACGGCGAGAGCTTCCAGCCCACCTGCAAGCTGCAGTGCATCTGCATGGACGGCGCCATCGGCTGCATCCCCCTGTGCTCAGACGACTTGCGGCTCCCCTCCCCAGACTGCCCCAACCCCCACCGGGTGAAGCTTCTGAACAAGTGCTGCGAGGAGTGGATTTGCCAAGAGGGCAGCCAGGAGAACCGCTATGAAACAGCCCTGGCAGGTGAGTGACAGGCAGGTGGGAGCAGGACCAGGGCCAGAGCAGCTGATTTTGCTGCCAAGAGAGAGCAGTTAGCTGTGGACTAAAGAAGTGGGCTACAGCTGTGAGGTTCAGATCCACAGGCAAGGGGATTCACAAGTGCAGCTGTGTGACGGACCTGCTGCTGGGAGCAAATGATGCACCCAATCAGTTGTGCACAAGGGGTGAGCCCTCTTCAGTCCCTCAGCATCAGGGAGCAGCCATGGTTTCCCTGAACAGAGCAGGGGTCATGCAAGTGTCCAGCTCCACGAGCAGGCTTGGAGCAAATGCTGCACAGAAAAGAAGTTTGGGGCTGGAAGGCAGAGACGGTGAACCCAGCTGAGACTGGAGGGGGCCTGGGACTGCAGAAGTGAATCAGCTGCTCATCTCCTCTGCTGGAGCTGAGGATGTTGGCAAGGCCGAGCTTGTGCTGTGTGTAAAAAGTATCAGTCTTGAAAGCAGCCAGGATGACTGCTAAGGAGTGGGTAAAGACTGAGGCACTACCCAGGTCTCTCACATGGAGCAGAGCTGCCAGAAGTAGGGAAAGGAAACCAAGTATTGCCTGCCCTGTTAGTCTTCTTCCTGAAAGGCTGAGCAACCTAATGGGGTCTTGCAGAGTACCTCTCTGCTCCATCACTGGGGAGTGAGGCTGCACCAGCCTGTGAGTGACCCCGTAGAGGCCCCCAAAGAATGAGGCACCATGCAGTGATGTCCCTTGTGTCTGGTGATGTACCTTGTCTCGTCCCAGGGCTCTGAACCCTCTCTTTAGTCTCCTTTGACCTGGCTCAGTTTTTAGGGAGAATTCAGCGTACAAGCCTGACCTGAACAACCTCCAGGAGAACTGCCTGGTCCAGACAACCGAGTGGAGCGCCTGCTCCAGGACCTGTGGGATGGGCATCTCCAGCCGCGTCACCAATGACAACCCCCAGTGCCGCCTGGAGAAGGAAAGCCAGCTCTGCATGGTCCGGCCCTGCGACTTCCTTCTGGAGAAGAGCATCAAGGTACTAGCTGCAATGCTAGACAGCAACAGGGTGAGGCTGAACCCACTGCAGCTGGTGGTTTTTCCCTGCCCTTGACTCTGAGCAGCCTCTAGCCTCTGGCTAGCAAAGGCACAAGGGGTCCTCTGCCAGGACTACTAATGCCAAAGTAGTTGTGACACCTGTGTCAGGCCCTTTTAAGTAAGGCTCCTATCTCCAAGGGCTTGCAGGTGTCAGGGCCTACTTCAGGGAGCTGCCTGCTTGCTCCCTTACCTGCTGATCCCTGTACACTTATTGTACCTAAAATTCATGGGCAGATGTTGAACCCATCGACCCAAAAGGAGCACTCTTTGCAGGGCCCTAAAGCAAGCCCCATGTTTCATTCCTTCCAGCCTCAAACTCCACGGGGTGTTTGGGGCATGGAGCAATAGCAAATTAGTCACCCTCCATACTGCATCACATACAGGGGTCAGCCCTGTGAAGGGCAGAGCATCTTGTGCTCCCATTCACTTCGCTGGAAACTGAGGGTTTGGTCATGACAGAATCAGGTCCAGAGCTAAAGCTGTTCAAAAACTTGAGGTCAAGATCATTGAAAACTGGGGTTAGGTAAGGTGGAAATGATTTGTGGGAGGGCTCTGATTGCTTTGAAATGGCTTCTTTTGTTCCAGCTTATTGAAATGTTGGGAAAAGGTTGGATGTGTCTTTGTTCCAGTTGCTGGGGAACCTACCTTTTGTTTTAAATACATTTTCTTGCTTCCATTTTCTTCTTCTTTTCCTTTTCCCAAGAAAGGGAGACCCTCACAGCGCCCTTTTCTCACTAAAACAAAATAACATATTCTACACCTCCCCCCCCAAAAAATATCACTTTAAAATTACTCCTAGAAAACCCCAGAGCATCCCCCCACAGAGGCATGTCAATACTTCTCAGCTCCTCTGCCCATGTGTTCCTGTTCTGGGTGGTTAACCCTTTCCTTGCTGTTGCTCCCTTCCCAGAAAGGAAAGAAGTGTGTGCGGACCCCGAAGCACCGCCAGGCCATTCACTTGGAGTTCTCCGGCTGCACCAGCGTGCGCACCTACCGACCCAAGTTCTGCGGCAGCTGCACGGATGGCCGCTGCTGCACCCCGCACACCACCAGCACCGCAGAGGTGGATTTTAGGTGCCCGGAGGGGGACATCTTCCAGCGTAAGATGATGTTCATCAGGACATGCTCCTGCCACCATGACTGCCCCAGGGACAATGACATCTTCCTGGCCACCTACCACAGGAGGATGATAGGTGACCACGTCAGGGCAGAGAGGCAGTAGCCTCTTCCTCCCTGACCCCCAGGCCTAGGTGTCAAGAGTGTTCTCAAGTGTCCACAGTGCCTCCGCTGCTGAAGCCCAGGACTGTGCAGTCCCTTCTCACCCGTGGGGAGACCACAATGTAATTTGGGCCCAGTGGCAAGGACAACAAGGCAGGCAGCATGGAGGGGAGCAGTCCCCATGGGCTCTCTACTGGTACCATTCATCAGGCAAGGCTTGGGCAAGAGCATCTGGCACACTCCCATCATGGTGGGGATGCTGAGAGAACCAGGCTAGATGCAGAGATGGGCCTGAACTGGAGCCCTGATCCATGTTTCCCCAGCTTGTAAGGGGCTTTGGATCTGGATCTAAGCCACAAGGCTTGGCCCCACCTCCAGCTGGGAGCAAAATGAGTGTGGAGTTCCCCAAAGCCATGCTGCAGCCTTGCCACAACCCCAGAGCAGAGGGCAAAGGAGAGGCCCAGCAGCCTGATCTGTTGCCCAGCCATGCCAAGCAGCCTTCTCAATGGAGGAGGGAATCTGATACTGACCTTTTGCAATGCGTCTCTCTACATAGTTGTCTCCCTTGCCCAAAGAGGGGCTCCAGCCCTCCTGGCAATTCCTTCCAACTAACTGGGAACTACCATTGTTTGGCAAGGCTCATCCCCTTCCTAGAGCTCCCCCCATTGTGATTCCCCTGCGCCCCAGATTAACTGGACTGCAGGAATCCTGTAGATCTCTTGTGTCACCATGTTGCACGCAGGGGATACCACCCAGATGATAGCAAGGCTATCTAGCAGGTATGTGAAAGCCAACATTACAAGGGAAACAGTGGGTCCCATTGCAAGAACTTGCCATATGGCTTCCCTAGGGACAGCTGAGCCCTGTAAGAACCATCTCCAGAGAAGACAGGACTCAGCTGGGCTTACCCTGCTCTTTGTCAATGCTGGAAGGATAGTTCTAGGGCCCAGCTCCCATCCCAGGTATGGCAATACAGAGCAGAAGTATCCAAGGAGAGTAACATCAATGTAAAACTGGGGCTGGTTAGAGTAGAGTCAGCCTTCCAGCCTGTTGCACATCAACTAAGAGATCTGCCCCCTGTGTTTTGCAAGTCCTACACTCAGCCTGTACTGCCAAGAATGAGAATTGCCCACTTTTCTCCTCTGTTAAACGTCAGAGCTAGAACAGCTTGGGGACAGGGAACTGGATTCTCTAGTGGCCTGTGCATTAGCAACAGAGTTGAATTTCAGTAGCAGAGTCTTTTTATGACCAGCAGTGCATGAACCAGAAAAACCCAGCTCAGGTCAAATCCCCCAGGAGCCTGAGGCACTGGCAGGAAAACCCAGCCTTTCTTGTAAATGGAACAGATTTAACCTGGCATTACTGAGACAGTACTGCAGAAAGCGCTGCCTGGAGCATCCTGTGTTCTGCAGCCACAGAACTCACCTCCTGCCAGAGAACTGGGTTGTATTCACAGGGCTGTACAATGACTGGGCTGGTTCACAGGAGTGTCTCCTGCAAATCAAAGGAAATGATTCTTCTGCTCTGTTTGGCACTGGAGAGGCCTCACCTGCAGAACAGAGTCCAGTTCGGGGCCCCATAATTCAAGAAAAATGTGAGCAGATTGGAAAGAATCAAGTGGAAAGCAACAAAAATACTTAGGGGCTTTGGAAGCATGACTTGTGAAGAAAGGCTGAAAGAATTAGGGTTATTTAGTCTGGAGATTTTCAAAAGCAGGTTGGACAGACACTTGGCTGGGATAGTTAAGTCAGGCGTGATCCTGCCCTGAGCTTATGACGTCCCTTCCAGCCCTACTTTCCTGTGCTCCTATCACCTGTGTTCAGAATCGCAGCTTCCGTTGGAAATGTTTGTAATCCTTACGGCTGCAAACCATCTTCGGACCATGGCCCGCATGTAACCAGTGCAAGAGGCATCTAGATGAAAGTGCAGTCAGCCTGGAACAATAATTCAGAGAGGTGCGAACTGCCCCATTCATCTGAGAGGGCCTTTAACTGTAAAGACTCATGGTGATTTGACAGCTCAACATTACTGAGTATTCAACTTCAGCTCATTTTAGCAGAAGCATCCAGATAACAGCCCAGATGTTATGTGCCTTTTTCTGTCTCTGCTCTTCAATTAATCTGAGGCTGAGGCAGAATTCCCATCAGGACTGTGCAAAGCCAAAGGACTCTACTGCAGGTCCAGCCTGCGGTGAGGGACAGGTCCTGTGCTGCCCTCTGCAGCCATGTTTCAGAGCAGAGCTTCATTTCGTATAGCATCCTTGTCCAGGGAGGAAAGGCAGCTTGTCACTGGCTTCAAGGCATCGGCTCTGACCTGGCCACTGAAGTGCCAGTTGGGACTTGCCCTTTTCCCTCTGCCCCCAAACAGCTGCAGTAGCATTGTTCCCTTCAGACCCTTATGCAGCTTAGGCCTCTGTTGTTCACATTGAAATCTGAGCTGTAGACACTGCTAAAAAGAAGCCTTCGTCCAGCCTCTGTATCATTTTGCTGTCTCGCAGCTTCCTCTTAGGCCTTTCCAATCTGCCAGTCCCACCCAGCCTTTCTTGCTGTGCCCTGGTGTGTGCATCCCCCTGGCTGCGTGCAGAGCTCAGAGCCTAGTTGCACTTTACTGGATCACAGTAAAATTCTCTCTCTCTTTTTTTATATAACCTGCCTGGTCTCTTCTTTGATGCTCTGCTGCTAATCAGGTGTGCCACCTTGTGCAAGTCCCCTCCTTCTCTGAGCCTCTGTTTCTTCTCCCATCGTGGGAGAAGATGCCTTGCACAGGGACTACCTCATCTGCCCTGTCTCCCTGCCCCAGCATCTGTGCAGCACCAGTCCTGATCTGCATGGATGCTGATCCTCTAAGATGCTGCAAGCACAGTGCAGATGCAGTGAGGTGCCAGACAATGCCAGGGCTGCAATAGCATCCCATTAGACCAAAGTGCACTGTGATTGCTTCTGGCTACTGCCCTGGGGGGGGGG